TTTTTTTTTTGTGGTTTTTTAATGGGAAAGGGGTTTTTTTGGGGGAAAAAAAAATTGGGGTTTTTTTTTTTTTTTTTTTTTTTTTGTCTTTTTCCGTGTCCGGCAACGGGATCGCAACCCTCGGTGCTGCTCCCGCGCCTCGCTCAGCCAGTGAGCGGGAACCGGTCTGTATGTGGGATCCGAACCCTCGGGCGGGAGAGCCGCCGCGCTTCCCAAGCGGCACACTATCCAGTGCGCCACCGGGACGGCCCTGGGTCTTGTTTTTTAATCCATTCAACAAGTCAATATCTTTTAAGTAGGGAATTCAGTCCATTTACATTCATGGTTGTTATTGAAAGGTATTGCCTTACTCCTGACATTTTAATAATTGTTTTATGGTTAATTTATATATCCTTTGTTCCTTTCTTTCGCTTTTATTGTTTGCTTTGTTATTAGATTTTGAACAAATAACCTAATATTGTGATTTGAATTAGAAAAGAACAACCCAATTGCAAAGTTAGTAGACAAAAAAATAATAATGATAAGAGTGGAACTAAATGAAATAGATTCCAAAAAAAGATACAAAAGATTAACAAAATGAAAAATTGGTTTTTTGAAAAGATAAATTGACAGACCATTAGCTAGACTAAGAAAAAAAGACTAAGGAGAAAAACAAATTGACATATTAGCTAGCCTAAGAAAAATAACAAAAATCAGAAATGAAAAAGGAGACATTACAACTGATACCACAGAAATACAAGGATTCATTAGAGATTATGAACAACTATACACCAATAAATTGGAAAACCTAGAGACAATGGATAAATTTTGGGACACAGACACTCTACCAAAACTGAACCAAGAAGAAATGGAAAATCTGAACAGACCAATAACGAGTAATGAGATTGAACCAGTAATCAGCAGTCTCCCAACAAAGAAAAGCCCAAGACTGGATGACTAAACTGCTGAATTCTACCAAACCTTTAAAGAAGAATTAATATCACTTCTCAAATTATTCCAAAAATCCAAAGCAGAGGGTATTCTTCTGAACTTGTTCTATGAGGCCAGCATCACCATGATACCCAAATCAGACAAAGACACAACAAAATACTACAGGCCTGATAAACAAAGATGCAAAAATTCTCAACAAAAATACTAGCAAACTGAGTTTAAAAGCACATCAAAAAGATTATACACCATGATAAAGTGGAATTCATCCCAGGGATGCAAGGATGGTTCAACATAAGCTATACTCAGTAAATGGGATATACCACATCAACAAAATGAACGACAAAAACCATACAATCATCTCAACAGATGCAGAAAAGCATTTGACAAAATTTAACATCCCTTCATGATAAAAATTCTCAGCAAATTAGGTATAGTCAGAAAGTATGTTAGCACAATAAAGGCCACATACGACAAACCCACAGCTAACATCATACTGAATGGGAAAAAGTTCAAAGCTTTTCCTCTAAGAACAGGAATAAGACAAGGATGCCCCCTCTCACCACTCTTATTTAACATAGTATTGGAAGTTCTAATCAGAGCAATTAGGCAAGAGGAAGAAATAAAAGGCATCCAAATTGGAAAAGACAAATTGTCCCTGTTTGCAGATGATGTGATCTTATACATACAAAAACCTAAAGTCTCCACCAAAAATTGTTTATGATAAATGAATTCAGTAAAGTTGCAGGATACAAAATCAACATACAAAAATCAGTAACTATACACCAACAACAAACTAGCTGAATAAGAAATCATGAAAACAATTGCATTTACAGTAGCTACCAAAAAAAATAAATTCCTAGGAATAAATTTAACCAAGGAGGTGAAACCTCTCTATAAGGAAAACTACAGAGAACACTGATGAAAGAAATTAAGGACGACACAAAAGGGCCGGCCCGTGGCTCACTCGGTAGAGTGCGGTGCTAATAACACCAAGGCCCCGGGTTCGGATCCCACATAGGGATGGCCGGTTCGCTCACTGGCTGAGCGTGGTGCTGACAACACCAAGTCAAGGGTTAAGATCCCCTTACCGGTCATCTTTTAAAAAAAATAAATAAAAAAAAAAATAAAAAAAAATTTGATTTTATATTGATTTTCTATCTTACCACCTTGCTGAATTTTATTATTAGTTCTAATAGTTTTCTTAGTGGATTTCTTAGAATTTTCTATATACTGTTAGACCTCATGGCGGGCTTAACATCAACACAGCTCGTGTTAAGCAACTTTCCACCCTCCTCCTCCTCCCCTTTCCCTTTTCTGATCCAGGAACTGGTCAGTGAAATTCCTCTCCTGGGAAGGGGTAAACATGACTGGTATCATCAAAGGAACATCCTGTGGGCTGGGGTAGCAGACTTCAGGCTGGGCTGGGAGGACTGCTTTGTACTGATACAGTGGAGACACTAATCAGAAGCCTATGCCCTAACCGACCAGATGTATGCGAACCACAAGCACTGTGTCGCGTTGCATACCACTGATTTTGAAATTTCCCGTTACTCTGCAAGAACCCTCAAAATCTTATAAACCTTCTGCTTTGTTCAGGGGAACTAATCTGATTCAGTCTCCTCTCCATGTTGGTGGAATAAAGCTTCTTGTCTGAAATAGCATCTGGCTCCCTTCTCTCTCTCCCTTTTCTCCTTCTCGCTGAAGCTAACTAGATCAAATGGATATATTGTTA